GCCCCTGGGCCTCCGCCTCACCATGATGCGAGGCCGGGCCCGCGCGCAGCGCACAGCGGGCAGCGCAGCAGCCCTGCAGCCCCGGGCGCTGCTGCCGCCTCGCGCTCCGGCTCCCTCCTGGGGACACGTTTGGTGGCTTTCCCGGCCGGTGCTGCCCGCTGGGCCCCTGCTTTGCGGAGCTGTCGGTGGTGACCCCCAGACCTTCCCGCGTCGTCACCGCCAGCTGCACGTTCAGCGTCGGCTGGTTCTGATGATCCTCCCCTAGAAACACTATTTTGCATTGATTTACATGGGTGCTCCTCTGCCACCTTTTGCCCATGATCCTGGTCTGAGCAGTCCTGGATTTCCTCAGCACTGATCCCTCATTTGGCTGTTCAGAAGGGTTTATATCAACCGCAGGCTTTGCTGTGGTATCTCCAGTTTCCTGTGTATGTTCTTCTTTGCTTTGCAGTCGCTTTCTGCATGGTTTGATTCTCGATCTGTGCCTTCCTCCAGGCCATAATCGTGGTCAGCAGCTCTGCACAACTGGGCGCTAACATGTTTCTCCAGCATGTTCTTCCCTTTGTGTTTTGAAATTTTCAAGATGAAATATTCAGGAAACTTCGCTTTGAGGAGTGTTAAAGCAAGAAACTTCACAGTTGCAGAGGCTGGTAGCTCATCTTCTTGGGTATTACCAGTGATCAGGTGTGAATCAGGACTTCATGTTGTGCAGGATCATTGTCTTCTTCCCGCACCTCCCTGCACCATACATGCAACTCTGACCCATTTCCTTTGCCATCAGCTTTGCTCTGTACCTTTCATTATTGGCCTTCTGTTTTATTTCAGCGCCGTGACTGCCTTCTCACCTGCTTTCCGCAGGACATGGTTGTTCCTGGTCAGGTTATTTTTATTCCACCTTTCACATATGGCTTTGCAAATGGGGCAGATACTTTGAGGTCGCCTTCCAGAAGCCCTTCAGAGCGCTGTCCCCTCCGTCGTGGTCAGCAGCAGATGTGTTTTTATTTCCCATGGGTCAAGTTGTTGCATTGCAGACCCCCATGGTCAAGATTTTCTTCATGAATTTCGTCACCTCGTCCAGCCCTGGCGCGTTCTGCCCGGTTCGGTTGTGGCTTTGGGCTGAGGTTCTTCTAGCCAAGGGAGTCGGGGAGTTGCGGTCCGGTTGGAAGTGCAGCTTCCCTGGACCAGCCTGGCACTGCGGAGCGCGTCCCGGCCCGGAGCGCGTCCCGGCTGGCTCCTCTGTGTGCTCGGTAAAGTGGCTGCTCGTCGTGCTTTGGGCGGCCAGGGAATGCCCCATAGTGAATAAAACGGCCTCATGTTGTCTGTGATTCCGTTTCTTATGGCTGTTTCTGGGAGTTGCTCGTGTAAGGTCACATTCGAGACACACTGGGCAAAAAGCTCTCTAACCACATCAATACCTGCCGTTCATTCCAGATCAAACTAAGTTATAAACAATTGAAAATCAGCGTTTCCCGTCTGTTACGTGAGCTGTCAGCAAAAACTGCCCCAGCGTTGCCAGGATGCGGCTGGGATACGAGTGCTGGGGTGGAAATCCCAGGAAATCAGCGCTGCCCTCGGGACAGCGCTGCAGAACCGGGGGAATCTCCCCTTTCCGGCCCCACGATCCAAACCTCTCCTTGCTGCCGTCTGTTTTCTAGTAACCTGATCAACGCAAACTGCTGCCCATTGGGGTGGACACGCTCGATGATTAAAAATGAAACAGAAAGCCTAGGCGTGCTCCGTCAACGTTTCTGTGCTTTATTTGGAAGGAGCAGGGTGCTTGTGCATGTGTCACATGCAGATGATGAAATACTTCTCAATCCATTAGTAACTGAGGCTGTCAGCATCTTCCAGCTGCTGGTAATTTTTAATGTTTTTTTATTTTTTAAATTTTATATTACTGGGGAAATGCCAAAGACTCGCAGAGTGCTAGTGTGCAGTAGGGGTAAGAAGGTTGATGCAGTTGATTTTAAGTGTCTGAGGCTGGTATCAGTCCCTGGCAAAAAAAGTCTGGGTCGGTGTTGGAGTGAGCGGATAGAGAAGCACAGGGTGGAGCAGAAAGTCTCTCGACACAAAACCCGTTTCATTCCTCGGGGTGGCAGGTGACTGCTCAGATCTGGTGGCTCCTTGCAGGGCCGTTACTCGGTGCTGAGCTGCGTCTCCGTTACGGTACAGACGTGCGGGTGCAGATGTTCACAGATGTGCCAGGGGACAGGTCTGGAGAGGCTGTCAGCGAGGAGGCCTCGCCGGCCCGCGGGTCCCGAGGGTCTCCCGGGATTCACCTCGAGGGTCTCCCGGGATTCACCTCGAGGCTGATGCGATTTGGTGCTTGTAAACGCTCGGGAATAAACTCGGGCTCGCGGCTAACGCCGTTCCCGGGTGTCCGGAGGGAGGCGCTGGCACCGGTCCCGGGGCAGACCCGGAGCTCGGAGGAGACGCGGGAGCGCCGCGCTCCGGAGCCCGACTGTGCCGTCCGCTCCAGCCAACAGGAGCGTCGCGAGCCGGATTCACCGGAGTGCAGCGGCAATTCCATCCCAGTCAGGCGTTCTGAGGAGAGTGTGTGTTTTCATGAAAACCAAGGGGGAAAGCTTGAATTAAAACAGTAATGCAAAAGCGTGGTATCTTGGAAAATGCTGACATTTCCGTTTCTGCATTTAGTTCAATGCCTTTTTTCATTTTTGTATTTTTATGCTGTTCCATAGGAAACAGCACTCCTTCTTACACATTGCAAATGCCACATATTTTTAATTGTATTATGTTAATACATATTACAATAATATATACCATTGTATATTATTGTATTATATATAATAATTGTAATATTATAATATGGTATGTATAATTATAGTATAGAGAATATATAATATTATAATATAATATATGATAATATATGATAATATGTTAATAATAATATGTTATTAATAATAGCAATAAGATATATTATAATTATTATTAAACAACAACAGTTCAATCTGCCTTGGATTAGTATTAATCAATATTCCTTGGACTTTATTGCTCTAAGACTGAACATCTCCATCTGTATTGGAAACAAGTAGGAAGAAACCTGCATTTTGAAGTGGGGAAGTTTGCAGCCTCCTGGGCGTGCTGCGCGTAGCCGCCGTGCGTTCCGTCCCGCTGTGAGTGCTGTCCGGTGCAGAGGGTGACACGATGAGCCAGGACGGAGGGACTGTGCAGTAAAGAGCCAAAAGACAAGAACCAGTGACAGAAAATCGATTTCTTGCTGGTTTAAAATAGGAAGAGACTTGTTTTAAGCCGTGGGAATTGCTGGACGTTTGCAGCAAGCGTTCGGGAAGGGGCTGGTTCTCCGTTTCCTGGGGCCTTGGAGCGGAGACGTTTCCGTGGGGCGGGAGGGAGGCAGGGCCGGGCGCGCG